TGTGCCCTCAGGAATACATTAAAAAATATAATCTATATAGCTTAAAGATTGTGATTTGAGCTGTGTCAAAATTTAACCTTATGCAACTCACATTTAAATAATTTGATAATTGACATAACCTTGAACTTGTTGATAGACTAAAAATGCAGAAATTGTTAAACTGTATCATTTGTGAGACCAATAGACCATGATTTGTAATAAATATATTTTATTACTTATTTTTCATTTCTATGGGAGCCGGTGAGCACATAAATATTATGGACCATAAACTAAAAGTACTGGTTTTAAATTAAATTTTAACTTAAGTTGCAATTTGAAGATAGATTAGAATATGGAGAATTCTTAGCCATTTGTATGTTAATAAGTTTTCAAAATTATTTTTTAAATGTGTAGTTTCATGGCAGATTTGAGGATAAATGTTTTCTCAGTGATCTTCTGGTTACTTTAAAACAGTATTGAAGGAAGAAAACTTGCAGTGTTGTATTAGCATTTTATGGTTGAAAAAGGCTGTTTAAAGTCATCTAGCCTTGGAATCTCAGCATCTCCATGTTAGGAATGAGATGAAATTATTGGAATTGCCTTTACAGTACATAGCATGTGCATTTCCAGTGCCAGGGAATGTATTATTTCCCCAGGGAATCTATTTTCTCATTAGAATTTTAGATGGATCTTTATATTGAATCCAAATGCATCTGCCTCTAACCCTTAGGTCCTTGTTGCAACCACTGGGACTGAGCGGTATGAATATAATTAATTTTCCATGTGACAATTCTTCAAATATTTGAAGAAATCTATCATGCAAGCCACCTTCCTTCCCCCGCTCCTTGCCTCTGTCCTCTCTGCTTAAGGCTAAACAACCCAGAAAGAACTGTTATTTGTGAAACAGAGGCAAGAACCCTTACCAGTCTGGTTAAGTTTAGCAACTTATCATTTAGGAGCTATACGTTCTTCCCTTTGGGGAACACTAAAAATATATTTCCTTATCTTCAGTCTTTTGGGATTGATTTCACATAGATTACTAGTAGCTCCACCTCCTCCCCAGTGTCTTGGAATATAACTCATATGAATCAAGACACTTGAATTCATCAGAAGATTTGCAAACTCTCGTAAGATGTCTATATTCATCTTGGGTTTTTTATTTTTACATTTTGTTTTATTGTGGTAAGAATAAAACACGTGAGATCTACCCTCATAACAAAATTGTTAGTGCCCATGACATTATTGTTGACTATGGGTGCAATGGCTTCTCTTGCTGTGGAGCACAGGCTCTAGGCGCGTGGACTTCAGTGGTGGCACGAGGGCTCAGTAGTTGTGGCTTGCAGGCTCTAGAGCGCAGGCTCAGTAGTTGTGGCGCATGGGCTTAGTTGCTCTACAGCATGTAGGATCTTCCCGGACCAGGGCTTGAACCCGTGTCGCCTGCATTGGTAGTCGGATTCTTAACCAATGCGCCGCTGGGGAAGCCCTCCCATCAGAGATTTGCTCTGTGCTCTTTCCTTCCCTCCACTAGGAATATTAGTAAGAGAGGGTTAATGAAGGAAGCTAGTCCCTACTCTTTTCCCTTATGTAACCTATAAATAGATTGTAAAATAATATAATAACCATAATACACTGAATAATTTCTAATATGCCAGATTTTTGCCTTAGAGATATATATCATTGTGAATCATAAAAACTGTGCCAATCATTACCATCACATTTTATAGATGAGAAAACTGAGGCTCAGGGAGATGAGTAATTTGTGATCCAGGCATTCAGTGACAAAGTCCAATTTGAACAGACTAAAAAAACTCCAGAACCAATTGTACATAGTATACTACTCTGTGGTCCCACATGGAGGAGTGTTGACACTGATGGGAAACTATGACCATGTAGGAAGGGATGAAGCCACTGTGCCAGGTGTGTTAGGGAGGGATGTCTAGGGCCTGGCCGTACTACAACATTAAAATGATGCCACTTAAGTGCTTGCCTACTTAGTCTACAACTAGGGCCTGCACAAAAGCCCAGATTTTTTAAAAAATCAGAAGTATCTTTATCAGGTATGTATGAATATGGTCACAGGAAAAGGTCATAACAGAGAGCTGAAACTGACAGATATCACATAGATGATTATATTTGAGATTTACTAAACTTGTATCAATATTAAGCTGCCATTGAAAAAAGATAGCAAGTCAAACAGATTGAGTCTTACGTATAAAAAATGGGTACCTGAAGGACTGAAGAAGGAGGTATGATAAAATATGTAAGAAAAAAAAGTCACTACTAATCCCCTTTCCCCAGAAAAACTAGGGTGTAAAGCAAAATCACCTGAATACAGCTTTTGAGCATTGATTTTTCACTGGTTTTCCATAGAGGCTAATTCAATAGTTTTAAGAACCTTTGAAAACCCTCTCTATATACTACTAATTTTTAGTAATCTACAATGCATAGTGTTTATCATTACTATAAAAACATTATATTCACCATTCATATTTCTTTTTATTCATCTACTCTTATTGAATTAAATAATGTTACTGACTACTAGGAAATCTTCCTATGCTACTGAATACCTTAAAGTCATAATTTGGAGATTACATGCTGACCTTGAATGGATACATTCTAGAATTTTCCTTTCTACCACCACATGTGTGTCTGTTTAGGTGTTGTGCCCCACAAATAACCACAAGCTTGTTTTGTCCTGTCCAGTGGAGGGGGAGGAGTGTCCCTGCTGGAGGCTGCTCTGTGTGAGAAGAGAAAACATTGATGCTTAAAGGCCTCCAAAGGCGTCCACTTAAGCCTCATACCAGGTTCAGGAGGGCTGGTTATATCGACTTAAAGCTGGCACAGGAAAGACACGATTCAAGCAATCCTTGGCTTGGGGATTCTGGGAATATAAGTTCTACCTTGTGACTCTGTTACAGATTTGACCAATTTATCTCTTAGTAACAGCTCAGTTTATAATCTAAAGCATTGAGACACACCTCAGTTACATGAATGAGGCCTCATGAAAGTCAATTCTTGCCTCCTACTCTTCCAAAGTTAGTGGTTGGAACCCAGTTTGGCTTTCCCCCTTAGTGAATGAATTGAGAGTGAGAAAAAAGAAGGAGGAGGAAGAGAAGAAGGGAGAGAAAGAAGGAAGGAACGCAGGCAGTAAGGAGGGTAGGAAGAAAGAAAGGAAAGAGAACGTTGCTTGGTCTTGAAGAGCAGTTTGCCTGGGTGAGTGCTAGAGAGAGGAAGGGGATGACCCCGGAGAGACGAGAGCTGAGGAAGGCCCGAAAATGAATTATTCCACCTCTTTCTTGCTGAAGATTGAACCTTCGGGGCCAGGAAATTTGGAAGACATATTCTCTGGAGTATTTATTTTACTTCTGGCAGTAAATAAAGCCCTTAGGGAAGGTTATTAATTTATCCAGCTTATTTAACATATTCAAGTACCCTATTTCATACTCCAGTGGCCTGAAACAGTTAATTTACCCTTTGAATGGCATGAATGGTGAACATTTACGCCAAGTCTTGGCACTTTACAATATTCGACAAACATCTGGTATTTTTTGCTTAGGTTTGCTTTAGTTTTTATTAATATTTATGGAGAAGGAAAATAAAAATAATAATGTTCTGTTGAGGATACCAGGACAGTTGTTGGCTAGGGTGCCGTCTCAGAGTGAAAGATGCCTTCACCTAGGGCCCTGATCCTGAGGGAAGGAGACAATATCAGAAAGGAAAAGGGAAGGATGGAGATGGAAAGGGGGGAGATGATGTCAAATCCCCTTGGCTTCGTGTGCTCTTGCCCTTTTTATCTGGGGTGCAGTAACCGCCTATCTCACAACCTTGAATTCTCTAAACCTCATGTCTGTCTTCTCATAGATGCTTTCTGAGCTGTCATGTGGGTGCTAGAACGGGATTCTGGAAATTACCAACTGATTTTTATTCCTCTGGGTATATTGGTTGCCTGGTGTGCTAAAATAATGTGAATTGGTTTTGAAATGAAATGTCACTTGTTGAAGAAAAGCACATAATAATTTGTTTAATTTAAACATTGGGGAGGAAGGGGAAGACATCTGAACTGCATTTCTTATGTAAATGAATGCTTATTGGACTTTCGGATGCTATAGAAATACAACTTCTGTACTGAGGAGGCATGATTACACATATTGATCACGCAAGAGGAATATAGATCAGTAAGAAAACTGCTGTACCCTTTAGTTATTTTGGAGACAAATCATGTAAGGTAAAACTGGATGCTGCTTTCTGTCTTTGAAAGCTGTGCGGATGCCTTTGTGTTCCAGGAAATGCTTGGTGCAGAACCATCAGATTCCACGTCTCCTCAAAGAAGAGATGTGTTGAGGTAGAGATAGTGCTTGGGAAGCCCCAGGCAAAAAGGATTCTCCTTATTCTTGTAGATCCAACAGAGTTGATGAATTAAATAAATAAATGAAAATACAATGGATAGACGAGTAAATGGAGAAATAAAAAATATAAGTGACATACTTAAAGTAGCTCTTGGTGAGCCCACACTCCCAGATATTCAACAAATTACGTATGGAAAAGAGAAGCTTGGAAATTGTCAAATGCCTGAGGTTAACCACAGTGAGTGTTGGCTCTGGTCCCTCCAGGACACCAGCAGTTGGCTGAAATAAGGGGAGCTGGAATTCCAGAGCAGTCCGGGTCTGCCGTTCTCGCTCAGTGGGCTCGGGGAGGGAGTTTAGAGCCGGCTTGCTCCACGGCGGCCCGCAGGCCCCGCACCTCGGGCCCCTCCACGTGCTCTCTCTTCGCTCCCTCCCCACCTCCTCGACTCCCCAAGGGGAGGGAAATGAACCTTCAGGTGCGACCCAGCAGGGGGCGTGGGTGAGCTGACCCGAGGGCAGCCCGCAAGTGTCCCGTTGTGTGGGTGTGGGGTAACTTGGGTGGGAACGGCGTGGAGGCCACCACGACGAAGTCCTGCGCCTCGTCGATGGGGTGTGTGCAGAAAGAGCGCGGATAAATAGGAGGCTTCCTCTTCCCGGCGACACTCGCGTAGCCGGTCGGCCGCCCGCCCGGGGTGTCCGCCCGCCCGGTAGCCGGGTGCCAGCCTGGGGAGTAGTTTTGCTTCCTGCTAGCTCCGGGATTCGTTTCCAGGCACCCCGTCGGGCGCCCGTGGCCCGGGAAGGGGGCGCAGGAGGAGGCGGGAGACTCGTCTCGGGGCTGCTAGGCCCGGCAGCGGGGTTGATGGCCCGGGCCGTCCCGGGCAGCGGCGCCAGCTCCCTGCCACTGCTCCTGGCCCTCGCCCTGGGTAAGTGGTCGCTGGAAACCCAGGAGGAAAGTCTAGGGTGGAGTCGCAGGGAGGGCGAGCCTTCCGCGCTGGCATTTGGACCCGAGGGGGCCCTGGGGTTGGCAGGGGCGGGTCGAAGAACTTGGACGACTGGGGTAGCACGAGGTTAAGAATCCGGCACTTGGGCACCTGGGGCTGCACCTGTTGCGGCGGCCCTGGGCGCAGGGGGCGGTCCGAGGGCGGAAGGGATCCCGTGGGCGGGCGCAGAGCGGAGGGCCTGGGCGCCGGTGCTCTTGGGCGTTGCGGCGCGGTGCCCGCGAGCGAGGAGGTGTGGCAGGTGGAGGATTTTGGGAAATCCACCAAAGTGGGAGCCTGGGAGACTAGACCGAAAAGACATCCCCTGGGAAGAAGAGGAAAGGGAACTCCTTGGCTTGAGATGCAGGCCTCCGGGAGTGCGGAGCAGGGTGGAGAGCAGTTTGCTTGGGCGCGTGCCAGAGGGAGGAAGGGGACGACCCCGGAGAGACGAGAGCTGAGGAAGGCCCGAAAATGAATTATTCCACCCCTTTCTTGCTGGCGAAGTTGGGAGGGGTAGGAGGAGGGAGAAAAGATTCAACTTTTGAGACCTGGATCTCCTGTTCCTGATAGGGAAACAAAAGGAAAGGGAGATGACATATTTTTACTGAGGGCAGTATTGATGAAACACGTAGCTGCTTTACTTGGAGTATATTATTTCCTGTTTTAAGGAGAAGTTGCAGAGAGAAAACTTTTCTTCACTTCGAAGGTGAAACTTGGGTGGTTAGGTTAAGGACTACTGGGTGTGGTCGGTCACCTGGTGTGAGGGGACAGTGGCTAGTGGGAGAAGTGGTAGGATGCCTGGCCCTCCCGGAGGCTCTCCTCACCTCCTTGGGAGTCAGTGCTGGCAGAGAAAGAGCTGGAACTTCGGATGCTGGGGCAAGTTTATACTGCTGGAAGCAGCGTTCCCCTCACTCTCTAGTATGGGAAGGTAGCAGGTAGATACTTAAGTGGGAAAATCCTACTACTGCAAGGCATCCCCTCTGCATCATGATCATTTGTGCGGGGTGCAGGCAGAGGGAAGGGAAACTGGCAATATTTTGTAGTCCTAGCTGGGATGAGGGGTAGGGACATCTGGGCTTGGGGCATCAATGCGAGAGGAGGGGCGTCTCCACAGCTGAAGTGTCTATGTGATGAGGACATTACCTTCCAGCCTGGAAAGGGCCAGGCTTTCTCTTATGGAGGAAAAGAGGTGGGATCTAAATGGAAACCTCCATTTGGCTGTGTCCTTGGAATAAGAGAGGTGCCTGAAAGGTGTCACGACCTTGGTCAGGAGTGGATCAGACTTAGATCATGGTTAGAGAGAAAGGACTGATTTACAAACCCCGCAGAGGAAGAGGTCAGAAACAATTTGGAGTGAAGCGGAGCCTGAAGAAGGGCAATGGGCCTGAGAGTTAGGCCTAGAGACTATGCTTTGCCAGCATCACTTGGATGAAGCTGGCATTCTCTTCCTCCATTTTATCTGGTCTGTCCTACTGTCAAAGTGTTTACTGAAAATCTGCTGCAGTCAGCAAGATGCTAGAGTATATGGGAATGGGGGTGGGAGGAGGGCTCAAGAGAGTCCTAAGACATGCTTCTTGCCCTAAAAGATGTTATGTTGAAGTTGGGAATGCAGGACTAACAGATATGAAACAATAGGAGAAAAAGTCATGAAACCGGCAAAAGGAGAGCTCAACAGGGAGGAATGGAGCAGTGGGGAGTTTGCATGGAGGACCTGAGTGGGTAGGATTGAAACTTGGCAGGATTTGAAATATCAGTAGTAGGGGAGAGAGGGGGACGAAAGGCGGTAAAAGCATTTAGTAAAGCACTGGTGATGGGAATGAGATTAATTTCCTGGGGAGACAGGCAGTCAGCCTGCCAGAAAGTAGAACTGATGAGAGGCAGACAAATTATGAAGAGCCAAAAAAGCCAGATTAAAATATTTTGATATAAATCAATAAACAGTTAATCACACACCATCATAGGCCTTGAATACAGAGTGATATAATACAAGCAATGATTTAAGGAGATAAACCTGGCAGTGGGGTGCAGTCTGGGAGGAGGGGAGAGGGCCAGAGGACCTGATTGTCTCAGGTATAATCCAGGCACAAGCTAATACAGGACAAGATTAGGGTGATGTGCCAGCAGAATTGTTATGGTAGAAATGACTATTTCAGGTTGATGGACATTCTTCCCTATTTACCGTCACACGGTACTTTATTTTTTTCCTCAAAACTTGTCAAAAGGCAGAAATGAAAAAAAAACAAAACAATTCTAATCCAGCGCTGTTGTAACTCAGGGTAACTTAAGTGTGCAACTGCCTTGTTGAATGTTTGGTTTAGGGAATTGAATTCAGTCTCTAGACTCCCTAAGATGGTCCACTCCTTGCAAAATGCCAAAGGATGTAATTTGTTGACCTCAGTGTTTCCATTAAATGGTCCTATTTACTTTTAAGTCTCATTCCTAATTTAAGTCACATGTTATCTTATTTACTTCTTGAAAAGAATGTGAGCAATGGCTGTGTGATGTTCTAGGTGTGTGTGCGCGTGCGTGTGTATGTATGTCACAGTGAAAGTGCCTTGAGAGCTGGTACTGAGCAGACGTTGAGACCTGGTTCCAGCTTCTGCCATTCTGTGACTTGAGATGTCTGTAAGTTACAATTCTCTGGGCATTGTTTTTCTCATTTATAAAATAAACGAGTTGCTTTAGATGAGACTAAGGTGCTTACCAACTTGACAGTCTGCTGATCTTTAATGAACATTTCTACTGGGAATTTAAGAGAAAATTTTTTTACAGTAATATTTAACTTCCATTTACTTGTAATGGGTCTTTGTTTCCTGTAAACTTTACCTTAACAAAGAGAACCATGGGTGCTTGCTTGTTTGATAAATATGGTAAAGGGGCAATAACTTTGTTTAAAAAAAAATGAGTGAGTTTTAAGGCCAAAAATATGTTCCCCTCCTTATTAAAATCTAAACCATTAATATATGTAAGTTGGTTTTTTAAGTTCTTCTTGAGAATATGAATGTATTCATGACGTAATATCTAGGTTTCAAGTTGTAAAGCAAGTAGGCGGCAGCAGGTAAAATTCTCATTGTACAAAGGAAGTAGCTGAAGCCCCACACAGTGAAGATTTTAGAATGTGCCTCTTCAGATATGCTTTTGGGCTTAGAAGAGCATTAGGAGTTTTTTTCCTCTTCAAAAATCCCAGGTTTCGCAGGCCACACTTGCATATTACCAAGTGTTACAAATCAAATTTTGCTATTGCTCCATTCTCAGTTGTTGTGTGGAAATTCCCAAATAATTCTGGAAGAAAGATCCCAATAATGCAGACAAGCTTTGTAGTGCCCACTGAAGGTGGCCCTGCTGAGGCTTGGCTTGCAAATATCTGTGCTGAGCTCAAAGGTGCCCAGGACAGAGAGTCCATGTGTCTGTCCACACCCCTGGCACTGCCCCATCTCTGTTGAGACTGCTCACCCCAGTACCCTGTGCTCCTGAAATCCATGGAGAGCCCAGTGGGAAAGCCTCATCTTGTTTTTTTCTCACCCTCTAATAGTAATCAACTCATGAATGTCACTAGGAGGCTGAGGGGACAGTCAGAGAAACAGCACCAAACTGTTGTCCGGGTCACTCTTCTAATCCATGAACCACGCTTGTCAACTTCTCCTCTAGAATTAGTGTCTTCCCAGGAGGGTCCAAATAAGCCAGAATCTGGGCTGCATGCAGTTTAGGCTTAAGCCATGATCCTGATACACTTCTAAAACTGCAGACGAACCCCTGGATCCACAAAGAATCCATATTCCAGTTGGTCAAGAGTCCGCCAAAGTAAAATTTAAGAGGAAGGTCATCTGATTAAAACGACTATGCTTTGTACTGCTAATGACTGCAGTTTGCCCAGCCATATCTGTGTCTTAAAAGAGGAATCTTGGTAGCCCAAATGAACCTATAATTGCTAGATTTTAAAGAAATGAGGAGATTTTTTAGATGGTTGGAGAGAGATTGGGTATTTAATCTTAATTTACATCAGTTAGGTAGTAACCTACTTCGATTATCAGCAATATCAAGTCAAACAGCAAAGAAGAACTTTTATTCATTCTTTACATTTTTTTGAGGATAGGTAGTGTATTATTTACTTGACCTGTAGACCAGAAACACTGATTCCGAAACAGTGACAAAATGTATAACAATGTTTGTGTTCAGCCTTCTTATTTCAAAGTGTCTCCGTTGGTTGTATAACAGGATGAGTTACTAATATAGCATTTCTCTCTTTGCAACACCATGGATTTACTCATTCCATTAGCCTTATGTTTGAGATGTTGAGATGTATAAAGAGTTCCTGGCACATAGTGGGAGCTGAAAACATATTAGTTAATTGAATGAGTGAATGCAAGTGACTGTGACAATGCCCAGGCATTAAAGGAACAGCAGGTTCAGTAAAGAAAACAGTTCTATTTCTTATTGGCAAAACATGCCCACTACTCAGAGATGATGTAGAAGGATGTGTTTCTTCATCTCTTCTTACTTGGGACTTGCTTCCCATCTTGATAGAGATCCTTTCACAGACGGACTTTTACGGCAAGTAGTAAGTCTACTTCTGTTTCTCATGTTCGGTAATGCTACCTATCTCTCATATATTTGGTTCATATATTGGGTTCTCCCCCATATTTGAATGGGGGAGACAGTGGCAGATAGGACACTATAGTACAATGACATATCACTGTATTTAAGAGGAACCCAGTTCTCCTGACTTATTTTAAAAGCATTTAAGTTCATTCTAGCAGTCTCCTACCGTCTTTGCTTTCTCTGCTGCCTACCCATACATCTGTGGCACCCCAGGCACTGGCTATACCTCATGTTCTTGGACTCTTGGCTCTTCATTCCAGCCAGTAAACCTGCCTACTCATATCCCAGGCCCAGGCCGTCCCAGCTGGTAGTGAACAGTTGGCATTGATCAGACCAGGTGTTTTCCT